AATAATTTATTTTTGTTTTAATAATATAATTTTTTTATAAAGATAATAATTAAACATTTTGTTAGAAGTCAATAATTATCTTAATTATATTTTAGATTTTTTATATTTAAAATGGATGTTTATCATGTATTTGATTATGTTTATCAGGAGTTAGTTACACGAATTTAAAAATAAAGGTTTAATAAGTTGTACTTACGCAAAATTACTTGTAATCTTAAAGATTATGAGGGTGTTTACTTTTGACTTACTCAACTTAATGATTTTGGCTTATTCACATAACCACTAAATTTACCACGTATAAGTATTTTGGAGTTCTGTATCAAAAGTTATGTATGTTTAAGCGTTAAACACCCACTTTTGACCGATTCACCAAAGGGTATCCTTGGGGTTTTCTCGTCCAGATCGACCGTGTTGGATTGATATGACTCAGATATTGTTGTATTACCACAAAACATCCTACCACATGGCGTATTGATCGTTACAATCCTCGATTTAATTGGTCATGGGTCTAAACCGGAATCCCATAGCAAAAGTTTATACACGTTTGTGCGTGACACACATTTTTGGCCGATACACGAAGAGTATATCCTTGGGTTTTTCTCGTTCAGACAGACAATATCGGATTGCCGTGAAAAGTTCGTGGGCAATCTGCAATGTTAATGAGAACTTTTACACCAGAAAGAACTTGAAAAAAAATCATTCTTGTGCCTTCCAAAACCATGCGTTGGCGAAATCGATCGAACTTGTGTCATGCAGTTTCTTGAAATCCACTCAAATCATGTTTTATTACCATGAAACTTCATAGCCATGGTGTGGTCCTCGTTTCATGCTTCAATTTGACTGGTCATGAGACTGAAACGGAGTCTTGTAGCAAAAATTATGCACGTTTAAGCGCAACATCCATTTTGGTTGATACACCAAGGTATCCCTTTGGGTTCTTCTCGTTCGGATCGACCGTGTAGGATTGTCATGAAAACAACCCTTTTTTATGTCGAAAATTGCCAGAGCCACGAATTAACTAAATCGAACGAACACGCATCATAAATTTAATCAAAACTCACTCAAATCATGTTTTATTAACATAACTTCCTACCAATTTCGTCATTAACTAATAATAATAATATTTTATTATTTTGTAATAAATGGAATATTTATTTTGAAACAAAAAATAGTATTTCATTTATTGCTTAAAGATATTAATGTTTTGATATAATTTATATATGGAAATAAATTTATAAAAAAGTTAATTTATGCTATATTATAAAGCATTTGACAAAAACTTTTAAAAACATTTTTTATATATAAAATACTATTTATTGATGCATATTACTTAAAATTCAAGATTACAAGTAATTGTGCGTGTGTACAACCTATTAAAGCTCAATGTTTGAATTCGTGTAGCTAACTGTAGATAAACATAATCAAATACAAGATAAATATTTCATTTTAAAAAAATTAAAATATAATTAAGATAATCATTGAGTACTAACAGAATA